TAGAGAAGCGTGGTCTACACCACCATCGATAGTCGATAGTGATTTTAATTGAATAGATGTCCATATGGTTATATTTAGTTTAATTTTTTATTGTTTTTTTTAAGATTAGCTTCATATAACTGTATAAAACAAAAAAGAAAATATTTGCTCAATTAAAATTTAGAAAAGTTATGGTGTAGTTAGTAAACAAATAAAGTTATATTCGTAATTATTATTGTAACTAGGACAGTTACGATAGACTAAACTTTTTGAACGCCGCAGTCTACGTGCACTAACATATCTTTTCTCATTTCTCAATTCCCTATCGTTACCTGATTACCTGGTTCCTCATCTCCACCTCCTTTGCTTCAATCACGACCGAAATCTTCTGTCTACAAATAATATGGTTCTTCTTTGCCCCCCTTACACTTCCAACTTCAAAGTACAGTCAGTTCTCCTCTGTAATGCGCTCCCAGTTGAAATCAGGATGTCCACTAACCGCTTTATGTTCAAGAAGAAATTAAAAGATCTTCTTCAAAATGAGTTGGCAGAAAGGTCACGACGCTAGTACCCGACTTATAGGAGTATTTTTGATAGTTATGTATTTATATTTGTTTATGTATTGTATGTGTACACTTGAGGACTCTTTGTATATATGTAGTAATGAATATAATATTTTATCTATAGTAAATAGTGAATATATATGAAGTTAGATTGTTCTTAGGTAAATTGATAAATTTAATATAAATAAAGTCAATTTCTCTGCTTTCTCTTGCACCTACCTAATAATTTTTCTACATCCAGGCAGAGAATACCCTGGGCATTAAGTCAGCCTGTATACAACTTGTGCATTAAGTTATATAAATAAATAAAAAATAAATTTAGAAAATAAATATTTCAATTCCGGGACCAACGGACTAGCCATAGCATTAACGCCACTTACTGCATATTGAAAAGCTTTCCTAGAAAACTTTCAAAATAACTCGAACTTGCAGTTTACACTGAAATAACACTCGAATCGAAACGTATGTACTTCTGTACTTATATAACTTGCTATCAAATTATTTCAGAAAACTTGTTTCAAAACTTGTAACTGTTAAACTGAAGTCATTTTATTGCTTGTAAAAGATTGCATTTAGCAATAAAACCATCGGTTTGACATAATATGAAAGAATTATGATTTTCGTAAATTTGCAATTTGTTCCAACAATTTGACTATTGTTGGAAGAAATTGCCATTTATCTAATATGCTTCTGAATGATTTGGTTATAGGTTCTCAAAATAATAAAAATCTAATTGATAAAGAACGTATTTCAATATCGATTCGAAACGAATCTCTCCTCTAGCGCTCATTGTCTTTGAATCGTTCACCTCTCTATATGGGTCAACGTGTTTTAAACGGGTCCTGTGACGTCGATCGTAAGTGCATTTTATGACTGTCCCTTGCAGGTTTATTTTAACTTACCTTACGCGAGCAATATATTGTAAGTGTGCGTGAATGTGACGTAATAAGTGTTGTATCACGACACACCGTTAAGAAAGAAAATTAGTTTGAAGCTTTTTTAATCTTCGTTAAAGATGACACTCGTTTATAATTAGACTGGGCCAGATACTGCACTTTTAAGAGACTGAAAACTATTTCTACCTTATATCCTTATCCCTATTGTTATTCTGAGTCTTCTTTCTGACCTTTTCATGTATGTTTGTTAAGTCACCCGCGACACAGGATATATATTCCTAAAGCGGGCGTTGTCTTTTTGAATGAAAAAAAAGAAATTAAATCTGTAAAGAGAAGTTGCTACATTGCTTTCTGTTAAAAGTTGTGCAATTAATTTATTAGTTAAATAAAAACATTGAATAGCGACTGTGTCAATATTAGACACCTTGATTTCAATCATCAATAGTATGATTGTTTAATATGCATTCTACAAGTATTATGATGACAAATGTAAATAAAAATTTTGAAATCATATCACAAAGTCGCAAGCAATGTTCACCAACCTCTTAAATATCGTGTCGCGAATCAAGCACGCGCCTTTGATCGGCGTATTACGGGCAATGTTTTAATAAAAACGTAAAAGTAATAAAAGATTTGATTCTTTTGGAATTGTTTTATATAGAATCTAATAAAGCTAATAGATAATAGTCGAGTATAAAAAGTTTAAATGACAATGGCTAACATATTAAATTATAATCATGCGTTTGATTGGCATTTTATTTTCGTTTAATGTGTCATTCTACGAGTATAATTAAATCAATTTGTGTGTAATTGTGAGTTATTTTCAGAAATAATTCATGGATCATCAAACATCCCTAACAAATGAATTATGATAAAACGAGTAAAAATTCAACATAAGCCTTAGTGTGTGCCAGTATTTCCGCAGAAATACTTCTTTAGAACACTTTTTATACTTGCTTCTAAAGACTATAATGATCAGACATTGCGTGTACCATATCTCAAAATCAGTTTCTAACAAACCTATCTCGATCTTATGCTGTAACAAACACTATTTAGAGCAAAGTAAATCAACTGTGAAAGTACTGACCTACTGAGCTCGGACTTGTAATTGGTTATTCGAGGTCTTGCTCCTATGCTATCTTTACAGAGACATTTATTTTGCAGATAAAGTAAAATTATTTGACTCACTGAAAGAAGAAAGTAACTGGACAGTAGGTATCTATTTTTGCACCAATGAATCATACTATTTTTCTGTTCCACTAAAGAACGACGACGCACGAGTGTATTTAATATATCCTGCCTATCAGTTATGTGTATAAATAATAAAAGAATACTGTACTTGTCAATCTCAAGTTATATACTTTGTATGAAACAAAATAAAAATGTATTTACCATTAAAATAATTTAAAAATATATGTTTTATTCTTATACTCGTAGGTATGGCATAACATTATGAGTTTTAAACTAAATCGTTTTAAGGCATGATCTATATCATACCATATTCTTAATAAATTTTTTCACAAACCAGAAATCTACAGCGAATAAATGCAAAAACCAGTCTACACGCTTGTTTGTTACCCTTTCATATCTTATCTTCTCAACTAATGATCACCAAATTTGGTATACACATGGCTAGGGGCACAAAAATGTTTCATTCTGTATATAAAATATCTTCTATGTAATCAATGCCGTTCCCAAATGCTAGTAAGCTATAAAAACGATTCAATGAACGTTTAGTATGAAAATATGATTGTCTATTTATTATTGTTCTAACCAAGAAATCCGCTCTATAAGTTTTGCATTCGAGAAATTTACGCCAAGAATATTACTTTCGACTTTCCAACGGTTGATATTAATGAGCTCTGGATACGCTGCGGCTTGTTTAGTTCATGCTTTGCACCATTAAACTGTCAATTGGAACACTTTATATCACTCTCATAATAGCCCTAGCTTTATGTAGCTTGACACGTTACGCCTTAATCAAACTTCAAAGAAAAGGTAAAAACCTTTAAAAAAAGAATAAAAAATATTTTATTAAGTCAATAATCTATTGTATTAATTGATTAACTGCAAATAACTAGTAATTTTGTAATATATTATGTTTTATCAGAGGAATATGGATAGGTACATAATAATTTATTTTTATAAATGACAGTTTTGACCTCTATAAATTATATTTTTTGCTTATCGATACTTAAAATTCTTAATGAGGTAATTTATTTAAATTTCGATCAAATTAAAGACTATTTAAAGTCAAATTCGTTCGGATTATTACTAGGCGTGTTTTGCAAATATACGTAACACATTAGCCATAAGTATCATGCGTGCATATTTTAAAATAATTTCAGATATAGAATGTAAACTTTACAAGTTGGAAAAAGCAGCTAAACTCTTTTTATAACCTCTGTAGTGCTTGTGGGTAGATTAATACTATACTATTAATAAATATACTAATAGAAGTATTAAGATGTTCCAAAATTAAAAACTCAAAGTAAACAGTGGTGGGTATCAAATGAATGGGAGGAACAGACGGAGGCGATCGTTAGACACGCAACGCGAGCCCCAATGTCGAATCCAATGCCACACATTGTTAGTTGTCGGAAGGAAGCGAAGCGAACCGTACTTTGTTAGTACTGTTAGAACTATACATGGTGTAGGAGTAGAGAAATGAAGCTTATTTACATATATTTTCGAAATTTCAAAGATGTGAAAAACAACAATCCATTTCTCTAACTATAGTGTTTTACAGTCTTACCAAAAAAGTAAAAACAAAAGATTGTTTACAACTACTGTCTATATTTTATATCAATGCCTACATGTACCTACCTCAGTAACGAATTTAACAAAATACCCTTCTCTTTCGAGCTCACAAAGAAACAACATCGAGTTCCATTTCATTAGACGTCAAAAATCAACAATAAACAGGGTTACATAAGCGCCGTTTTAATACATCCGCTTATAAGCAGACATTTAAAGCATCTAAAGAGCATCATCAATGATGAATAGTACCCTAAGAAGGACAAAACACATATAAAAGAGGTCTATACAAAAGTAGACACAGCTACAACTTCTACCACACCTATTGTTTCATAACACTGTTATGTATAAGTTTAATCTCCATTTAAAAGTGTGACAATAAGATCATTAGGTATTGACACGATCGTGAAATTTAAACCATTGATATTGTAAAACTTGTCCTATATAATTAAATTTCTATGAACTAGAAGCATTTAATGTACTATTCATAATGTTTTATTTTAAACAGTGCAGTAGTTATGAAGACTCAACACTACTAGTAAATACTCCTATTTCTAATTTAATTACAATACATTCATATTACAATAGACTTAGTGTTAGTAAATATAATGCATATTGAGTTCTATCCAATGACGTAGCATTGAAGGGTTTTTTTTTCAAACATCTGAAAAAACTACAAATAAAAACAAAATGTTTGATACATAAATTTGATTTCGTATCCACGTAAATGATTTCTGTACAGTTAATTCTATGTAGGTTAATATTTACTCATGTGTACTGATCAGTTATTTAACCATTGTTACAGCCTAGGCCCGTTCGAGGCGGCAGCGGGCAGTGAAATGGTGTCACGGCGTCGAATACTTTCGCGTTCTCGCGATGATCTGACACAGGCGTTTGCAGCTTCTGTCGAGGAAGAGGAAGATGTATGGTACCAAAAAGATAAACTTTACAAGGTTAGTACAAATACTCTTACATACTATAAACTGTGTGTTGTCTAGTAAAATTTTTATCTCTTTTATCTGTTCTATTTCCCATTACATTTCATTATGATCATCTTCTTGCCATTTTCCCAAATTTATTTGGGGTTCGGCGCAACTGGTTCTTCTTCCATTGTCTTCTATCACTCGTGAGTTTCCCAAAACATTTAGGCATCGTTTTAACAATTGCAACATGTAGTTTGCCTTAAATACTATCCAGCAAAAGATCATCCAATAAAACAATAAATTCTGAGTATTTACATTTGTATAATGTTCTAATTCATTAAAATTTTATCTGTATTCCCACACAGTTGCGTTGCAAAATAAAATGATAGAATGATAAGCGATTACTACAATCTAAATCTCCGTAAATTTAACTTTATTTTGTATTAAAAATCTAAAATAAAATAAAGTTACGAATAAGTGTCACTTTTTACCCGACTGCGCCAGAAGGAGGATTATGTTTTTCGAGATTATTATAAATGTGATAGTAACGTAACAGCTGAACCCATTTTGAATGAAATTTAGCATGTAGATACTATCATCAGGAAGAACGGACATGGCTACTTTTTAAGACGATAACCGACATACACGAGGCGTAGCCGACATACATAGGCAAATTCTAGACAGGATATACGTACCTATACAGGAATCGAGAGTATGTATGTATGAATCATTGTTTGACACGCTCTACGGCCTGAACAGCTCTATGGATTTTAGCGTGAGAGGTTTCGTTAGATTCATATTTACTGTGAGAGTGACACTGGATACATCAAAATAAAAAAAAAAACAAAATTACAGAATTTTGGGGCCAAATTCAAATGTTTGTCACGCTCTGCATTGATTTTTTCACACAGTCGGGTGCTTTGTTTTTTCAATAATTAGCTTGTTATGCATTTTATGGGATATTGTTTTGTGACATAGAAATATATCATAGTACATCTTCACGTGAATCAGCATCGGTACTAATTTTAGTCGTCGTATCAACGATTAATGAACAGGTAATCAAGTCTTAGCAGCGAACAATACCTAAATGGGTATTTAAACTTTCTATACATCAATCACGAGGTCGTCGAGCCGATGTACGTAACGTTCACAGCTCAGTTCACACAGTCACTACTATAATAACACAATAAATGATAGACTATAGGAGAAACTACTACGACAGAAAATTATTTAAAAGTGCAATATGTTCTATAAAAGAAATGTAGATGAAAATACTTAGTCTATCTATCTATATATCTACATACTTTAAGCGTGAGTGAATACTATTTACGTGTTATCTCTTATTAAATTCCAATTTATTTTTATTATCTTCTCAAAAATCAAACACCGACTCGAAAATCACGAGTTTATTTTTTAAATCGTTTCCACCAAACCTTAAAAAATTGGTTAAGTGCAATCTAATGTTCTTTCCTTTTCTGGCTACTCTTTGCTCTTAAATTAAAGTTGAATTATAATTTAATATTATGCAAGCAATACAAATTGAATTTAATTAGACTAATTTGCAATCTAAACACTACTGTCTCCCATAGTTGTTCCGAGTGCGTATTACGTTTTCCTTTCCTTTGTCTGTAGTTACGTTTTTGTAATCGTTTCCGACTGCTTACGGTTATTAAGGACGTGAGAAAATGCCGCACTGTATAGCTAGACTAACACTCACCATGTTTCATTTAGTTTCAACAATATTATCTTTACTATCATTATTTTGATTTACATTGACAACCCCAACTGAACTAGATACATCTACAATGTAGCTTTATATTGAAATGCAGTTGAATAACGTAATTGTAATTGTATGCCGATAAGTCGCTTAGATAGTGTTTGGTCAATGGCTACATTTAACGTTTTTGCAAAGGCCTTAACGGATGTGATATCTGCGGTTCTTGGTGAAATCTTGAAATATGAATGCTACTGTTAATCTAAATAGACTTTTTCATTGATACTTGTGGTTGTGGTTAAAACACTTTTGCCATTTTCTTTTTAATGATACTTACTTATTCTACTGATATCTTGACCAGCAGTGCTAGATGTTACAAGGCGTAATACGCATTGCCGGAATAAATTAACAATACTTCAAAGGTCTTTGTTGCTTCTATAACAACACGGCAAATTAATTACGTAACATTAAATTAAGATGAACCGCAGGTAGTTTATGTATAAAACTTCATTCCATATAAGTTTTCTGAAATCTAATTAAATAGTTAGGACATTTTTGCCATAATAGCAAAATAATTATAGTTTACACAAATATTTAATAGCTATGCCTGGGTGCATTTCTCAACGACCTGCTTGGTTTATTTTTTTAATACTATTAGTAAACAAGGCTTCTTTTCGCAACATTTTCTTGTCTGACATTATAACTGATCGTCAACTCTGACCCATTGATCGCAGTCGTGACTGATAACTGAGAATAATCTGAGTTACGGCATTGCAAATTGTCCGGAAAACACCTGGTCGCGTAAATATTCGGCCTTATAACGTTTCAATGTCAAATCGATTGTAATTTCACAAAGTTTGCTATGGTCCCTACGAGATCTGAATATAGGAAGTGGCAAGTTAATGGCATTATTTTATGATTTTTATTTAAGTTGAACTGAAAATTCCGAACATTTATTTATAAAACTGGACAGGATGACGCTATATTTCAAATGATTGTCGATGCTTTTACATCTTTAATTTGATATCATGATAAAAATAAAGTGCCTTGTTATAATATCCCATTGCTAAAACCAAAATCAAAATGTCATCATTTCGAATCATTACAAAACCATTGTAAGAAATATGACATTTACCCTATATAAATCTTGGAGGGCATTGACATGACGATTTGACATAGGGACTTGACCTTAACAAGTTCATTTCAGCAAATCATTTTATTGAGTCCGTTCGAATACGTAGGTGCCTTGATTACACTCACTTAAAAATAAATGTAATAATGATAATGCAGTATGTCAGGCAGTTGATTATACAGTTTTTCTTCTTTTTTTCTTACTGTTTACTGCTGGAGTTTGATTATTAGTACCGAAATTTTATTTTCCGTCTTGATTTCTTTGAAAGTAACTGTTTAAGTGTGAATGAATACTATTCACGTGTTATTTCTTGTCAAATTTCAATTTCTTTTTATTATCTTCTCTGGTTAACCTGATATGTTAAACAAATATCTTAGGATTTAAGAGTGCATTTCAATAAAGCAACAAATTCCACAGACTTGAAACTTTGCTTTTAATATCAAGGCTTCCAAAATTCGTACCGAAATTAAGAAATGAATGCAATCCAAAGTAGACCAAGGTCATTGTTATTCTGTTTTGTGCGTTTCTTTCACAGATATTTAAAATAGTCTTTATAATTTGTACGTGTTTTGATGGAAATCATTTTATTCATGTTACAACACATATTCTCGCATAATATGGCTTAATATTTTCCATGGTTTATTGTCGTTGCGTCAAAGTTTATTGGTCTCGGGTTTAGTCAACAACAGCCTTAAATAGTCCACTGCTGTACCTAGACCTCTCCTTGGAAAGGAGGTTTTGCCCTCCTATACCACTCTGGCCAGACGGGTTGGTATAGGGTTTGTTTCAAGTATTCCTTCTCTTTGCAGTACTGTTGTCCTGCGTAGTTTGCTCCCTTAGTCGGCTCTTACGACACCCACGGGATGAACAGGGGTGATGACACACTGTATTCTTAATCCGCCACCACACGGACTTTCTTTCTTTTTTCTACTTTCTGTTTTAGTAGTAACCAAAAATAATCTAATAACTTAAGTAAAACTATCTTTAACTACGAGTTCTTATTAGTCACCGATTGAATGTTCAATTATACCACTATGTCCTTATTGCCGCACAAGTCGCTTGAGTGTTGCAAGCATACTTGACACCTGTTATTGGTCAACATTCACCTGTCTGTCTAGCGGTTCTGAGGCAAAATGAGTTTTCGCCTTAGTATACACTTAATAAATTTAAACAATCCCATATTTATAGTTCTTTCTAGATATTTCCTAGGACTGAATTTGATTGATCTACTTCTCATATATGTTAGTTGCAAGTAATCCTTTTCATTTATGTTGTCTTTATTATCTCCGCAGTCGAAACGGTGTAACACATTTATGTTTAGTAAAAATGAAAATTTTGGTCTGTGTTTTGATTACCATACTTATGATTTCTTTTATTTTATTTATTTCTTTAACCTTTTTTTTTAACCCGTTTTATTTGTATTTCTACATCATCAATCTTTTACTCTTTTAGACACTTTGATTGCGCCAACCATGGTTCAGAAGACCTTTCAAAGAAACTGTATAATGTGACTTACGTATGTTGAAAACTTAAAAGTGAAAACCTAGCATTATGACAAAACAAAAATGTACAGACGAAAATATTTTACATATCTAGAATGTTTTGAAACAGTGTTTGGTTTAAGTAAGTCGCGGTAACTTTCGCATAAAAGTAAAAATATGATACAATTACTCAGTGCATTGCTTCTGACTGAGGCATCCAACAATCATCCATTTGCTTCTGTTCTTACATCCTGAGTATCATCAATCCTTTGAAAAGGCTGGAAGGAAGGTTTTCATTAAAAAACTTTAAAGTTTTAAATTGAATATTGTAGCAGTTCAGTCCTCTCGCAACCGATTGAATGTAATTGCGAGTGTTTTTGAAATAATTATACTAAATTAAATTCTATTCAGAATTGATTAACTATGATCATTTCTAAAATCCTCAGTGCTTTACGAAAGATGAACATATGACAACCTCCGTAATTACGACGGATAATACAAGTGGCAATGTTCATGTCATGGGTCAATATTTGACATTTAAAGAAGACGACCAAATGTGTAATGACATAACAGTAAGGCCATGTCTTACGAAATACTCAGTTGTCACTTACACTCGTTTGATATTTAGTTGCGTGTAATATAATTGCTTCTAGCAAAGGTTACTTGAAGTAGTAATTGCAGATTAGATAATCGCTTGGAGATC